TATGCATGTGATAGATCACCTAGTTTTCTCTTTCATATAAACAAGTGCACTTTTACACAGAGAACATGGAATCATCAGTTATCAGTTAAACAAGAACAAGCTAAATTTAACACTGCCAAGCTAGAGGAGGGCAAAAGGAAAACTCTGCAGACTGGGGAAAAGTCTCACGACGGAGCAAGGCAGCATGGTATTGCTAGAAGAGGAGGATGGACTTATCCTTCTGAAAGCCTGTGGTCCAAGATGCTGCACTGAACTCCTCCAGTGAGGAAGAAGCAGCAGTTCCAGCAGATTAAGTTCCAGGTAAATATCTGTTACCTACAAGAAGGGCTATGGATGCTGTCTTCATGGGGCTGACTGGGTGTAGTCATGGATTTTTTGCAAGAGCATTTAGGGCCTTGATCGCCTACCATCAGTAACGTGCTAGTCTTTTTTTGAGGGAGATTGGCCCTAAGCTAACATCTGTTGCCAATCTTCCTCCTTTTTTGTCCTTTTTTCTCCCCAAAGCCCCAGTAGATAATAGTATGTCAAAGTTGTACATCCTTCTAGTTGCTGTATGTGGGACGCTGCCTCAGCATGGCTTGATGAGCGGTGCGTAGGTCCGCACCTGGGATCTGAACCGGTAAACCCCAGGCCGCCAAAGTGGAGTGCACGAACTTAACCACTGTGCCACTGGGCCGGCCCCAGCATGCTAGTCTTTTAAAATTTTATTGCTAAAAGTAATCACTGTTATTTTTCAAGCATAACATTTAGTCCTACATTCAACTGGTGCTACGTCACAGCATCCAGCTTTTAATTTCAGGCCTCCGGGCTTAAATTAATTTAGTGGACAATTTATGTCCAAAGAGAGAAAGTCTCATTGCAAAGTGGAATTTGAGTGGAGTGAGACACTAGGCTGCAAAAAGCAGCTATCTCAAGGACTCCTGCCAACACAGCATACGTGTGTCTCAAAGAGAGAAAAGAGCCCTCCTTTAATCTACCTCTATCAGCAACTTCGTGGAAGCCTCACATTTTACTTTGACCAATTCTAGTACCTGATCCTACCAGGCATCCCTGTGGTTTTGCATTTGGAGACATCTGGAACATGGTCAGGGACATCTGGTTATGTTCTAGGATGTAAAAGTGTGGAATGATGACTCCTCCAGAGATCTGATGAAGAAAATTCTCCCCAGTTTTGCATGGTCCACATTAACACGGTCAGGTCTTGCAGAGCCAAACACAGACACATACTCTTTCTTTTTTTTTTTTTTTTAAAGATTTTATTTATTTATTTATTTTTCCCCCCACATACTCTTTCTTAATTGCATTTTTCTTCTCTTCGGGTCATTCCTGTGTTTGTTATTGTCCTTGCTGCTCTTGTTTTTTTGTTTTGTTCTTTTGAAAAGTCAATGCTTTTAAAAAATATGTTAACCAGTTATATACGCTTGAAGAAAAATTTCAGAGGACATTGTGTAACGTCTGAAAGAGCCACAAGTCTCGTTGTTTCTAAAAATTTAAACACTCTCGGACTTGCTCTGGATGAAGAATCGCCAGTCCTTGCAGACATCGATCAGCTGTCTTTCATCTTCCTCCACTTCTTGCTCAAATTATGTGTGAAACTACAGCGTTGTAGAACTGGCTGCTCCCCAGTGAATCCGAAGCTGTCCTGAAGATCATTTTCCACCACCCTGAAGGTTTAACTACAGCTACATTTAATTGGCACTGGTGGGCAATTCATCAGGGGCGTTGCAGTGTGACTGTTCAGGAAATGCCTGCCTGCCGTAGTGCTGGCAAGCTTATTCCTCTGAAATCTCACAAGATCACTTGTCGAAACATTTTGTGCTGCGATGTTGATGATATGCCCAGTTCAATCAATCAATCAGCAAATATTTATGTTAAATGCCTGTCCTATCACTACGGCTAGCATGAAACTCCCCCTCTGTTGGCCAGTGTGAATGGTGTTCAGGCAAAGTTCAGGGTACTCTTTGTCTGACCCCAGTGGATGCCTGCTGTTGTTTCTGGCCCTTCCCAAATGGAAAAATCAATTAGTCCCCCAACAAATAGTTATTGAACCTCTACTGTGTGCCCACATTTTTAGTGGGCTTGTATTTCTTGGTGAAACTCTCAAACCAGGGTCACTCCCTCCTTCTTTCCTTTCTTCCCTCTTTCAATAACATTTTATTATATTGGCACCTAACATTTGTATAGAATTGAGTAGTTAACAAAGTATTTGTATTTTAACCTTATCAATAACGCTCAGAGAGAGCTGATTTTTTCCTCTTCTACAGCTGAAGAACCAGGAGATTTGGATTTGTCTAAAGTCACAGCCTGTAGAGAGCAGGGTGAGCACTCAAGTCTTCCAACCCAAAGTGACTTTCCCCAAAACCCCATTTCTCTCTGCTACATATATGGCACTGTAATGAGTGCTTAAGTTTGGGAATAAGAAGTGATAATCAGATGAATAAAATAGTTTTTAACCTCAGAAATATTATATCAGAGGTAACGCAATGATTTTGTCTCACTCTAAAACAGAACTACGAGTCTGATGCATTTCAGAACTCCTTCCTTGTATCCAAATAGAGATGACCCAAATCTTTGGAAACTTCCATAGTCGCCTGGCCTCACCAGAGTCCTACTTGCATGACTCTATCTTGGAAATGATTCAAACTACGTTTTTTGGAACCACGCTTCTCGACAGCTGCTTATCTAGCTGTGTCTAAATGCAGTGTCCATTTCTTCACTCCCACCCCGGGCTCTACAATTCACTTCAGCGTGGCTGTTGGCCTAGTCCTATCTTTCCACTCAAACAGCTTGTGGTAAGGTCATGGCTGACCTTCATGTCACTCAAGTCAAAGACACTTTTTCTCTCTTTGACTTGTCGAGAGGCAGAACAGCATAGTGATAACAAAACATAGAACTCTGAAGTCAGACTGCCTTGGTTTGAATCCTAACTCCTCTACTTACTAGTTGTGCAATCTCAAGCAAGGTACTTAACCTCTCTGTGCTTCACTTCATCCGTAAAATGGGGATGATAATAGTATCTACATCATAGTACAGGTGGAAGGATTCTAGGGGTTAATATATGCAAAACTCTAAGAAACTGACACATAGTAAATGCTACAGGTGTTAGCTGTTATTATTTATTATTACTAAGGTGCTTGACATGTTGACCATGTTTTTCTTCTTTAATCCCAATCTTCCATTGATCTCTCTGTCACCATGTTCTCATAATTTTACTCTATTCTCTCCAATAATTTTTCTCACTCTCCTTTGTAGATGCTCTCTCTTTATTTCTTTTTTTTTTACTTAATAAATGTTCTTCAGGTTTCACTTACAAAGTCCATTCTTTTTATCAGTTTTCTATCCTTCAGCAATCTCATCAAAACTCACATATTAGAGTACCAAGTACATTCAAATGTATATTTTCATGACAGACTCTTCCCCTGAATCTTTGACTGACATATCCACTTGCCGTCTTGACATCTCCACTTTTATGTCTCATATACAACTTAAACTCAATCTTTCTCCCCAAACTAATCACCTTCTGGTGTTCCTCTCTTAATAAATATAACCATCAGTCAATGTATTATTGAAGCCAGAAACCAAGGAATCATCCAGAATACTTTTGTCACCCTCACCGCTAACATCCAATCTGTCACTAAGTCCTGAAGATTATACCTCCCATATCCTTTTATTCAGATATTCCACTATCAGTGTTATATATACCCGATCAACGCTACCATTATCTTTCACCCGGACTATTGCTATAGGTCTCAAAATGCTCTCTTCTCATTACTCAGATCCCTGTCTCTCCAATTTCCACACATCAAGCAGAATGATCTTTTCAAACAGAAGGAGATCCTATCATTATCTGCTTAAAGCATCTTGATGTGTTTCTTATACTTTTATAATAAAGACAAACTAACTCCGTGGTGGAGTCCACAAAACCATATCTCAATAACTTTAAATCTTCTCACACTTCCTCTTGCTTTCTTACTACCGAGTCATTGACCATTGTTTCATTTCATCATAGGTTCCTTGCTCCCTCTCCCTGTAGGGGCTTTGCACACACTGATCCTTCTGCCTTTTCTCTCCTCTTTGCCTCATTAGTTCTTATGTATCTTGACATCTTGGCTGTATCATCACTTCTTCAGGAAAGCCTCATCTAACCCTCCTGGCCAGCATGCACTTCAATTTACAGAAGAATTGGCCACAGGAATACCTATGTGCTGATTATGGCAGAGTAACTACTAATTGTGTTTAAAACCTGCCATGTTTGAATAGATGGGTCATAGGAATTGAAGTCAAATGAATTAGAGGTTTGTTAGACAACGTTATAATTTGCATGATCAACACTCAGGCCTAGAAGAATAAGGCATTTCAATTCATTTTGTCTTCTTAAGATTGCTGGGACTGTAATTCCTGGGTCCTGTCTACTCATGGGCAGTATTACATGGCCAAAATATAACAGAATAATTTTCTTTCTTAGCTATGTCCTATTTGTGCTCTAATGTATAGCCAGCCTTTGAACTGTTTTTTTTCCCTAAAAAGAGACTGTTTTATATTATAATGACTAAACTCAGACCTTACTGATATTCCCAAAACCACAGTAAGAGAACAAGCTGGGAATTGCATTATTTTACCTTCAGAATGGCCAGAACTATTTCAAACTTCAGCCTCTTGATGACTTCATAGATGAATAACAACGTGGTTGGTTTTACTAAAAAAAACAAGAAGAAACTTACAGGCCTTCCTCTTCTGCAAACCCATCCCAGTAAGTACTTAATAATAAAATAAAGAATTATTTGGGACCTTGATGTTCAAATGTCAGAGACTCTAAATTTGCTCCACAAACAAAATTTGATGACTCCGCTTGAAAAAATTTTTCCTATTAACATTATAGGCTCTGTTAAAAAAAAAAAAAAAAATAGGCATCTGGACAGTTCATTTGAATGGCCACAAGAGAGCAGTAAGAAATTAAAGCTTAGGAAGATGACTCATAGTCACACTGCATGTATGTGTCTTTTGCTATTAGGAAGAATTGAAAGACAGACCTACTTCTATTTGTTCTTAAGCTTAGAAACATAGTATAGAATTTGTTAATTTTTTAAAGCCCTTCAGGAAGGGCAATATAGATAGCATTAGTAAATTAACTGAAAAGAACCTTGAATTAGGGCTTTTACGAACCTCAAGTTCATGTGTGAAAACAGAAGAAAATAATTACTTTGGACAAGGGACATCCTGAGCAGTCATTCGGCCCATCCTTCGGATTATGCAAGCCAGACAGAAAGGTATGTAACTCATTTACAAAGTCCCTCAGAAGAAGATCCCAGCATCTTGTTCTAGAACATGGCCAACACTTTAAAATGTTAACTATTAGAAAATATACTTTTATGTGTAATCCTATTCTCTTGTGTTGTAATTTAGCCACTATTTTAAATACTATCTAGGAATAACCTGGATCTTTCCCTAAGGTCCATTCCTATGTCTTTATGTGCCCTGCCCTTCTTTGCCCATACAAACTTTGCCATTTTTTTCTTGGAATTTTGGATGCCGTGAATTCTAAAAATAAATTTAAAAATCATGAATTTGCAAAATGACCAACAATAGCCCCAATATATGAGATGCAATTAGGAAATCAGTCTGAAAAAAGATTAACAACTAGTAGGAAAATAGAGAAAGGCCATGGACAGGCAATGCACAAAAGTAGAATCTCACATATTCAATAAACATATGAAAAAATGGTTCATGCTTAACAATAAACATAGAAATGCACATTAAAATGAGATACTTTTACACTACTAGATAAGCATAGATAAAAAGAATTATAGTGTCCAGTATTAACAAGAGAGAAAAGCCACTTACAAACACTGGGGTGTATGTTGGAACAACTTGCATGAGGGCAGTTTGGAAATATATATCAAAAACTTTAAAAATGTGAATTTCCTTTGACCTAGAAATTTCACTGTTGGAAATTAATCTTATGGAAACAATTAGACAAATACAAGGATAGATTTTAATAGTAAAAAAATTGAGAAAATAAAAACAAATTTTCTCAAAAGGAGAATTGGTTAAATAAATTAGAGTATAGCCATACAAATGGACTATGATGCAAATCATTGAAAATACTACAAATATATATTTACTGGCATTGAAAGCCCCTGGCGTATTTTAAGTTAAAATAAGGTTGAAAACATCACAGTATGATTTCACTTAGAAAGAAATGCTGAATGACTACACAGAAAAATGTCTGGATGATATACACCAAATAACAGTTATCTCTGGGTAATGGGCTCACAGATGACTTTTTTCTTTGTGCCATAGAACTTCTTGTCAAATCTGCATTTCTGTCTGTTTTTAATTAATTAACACATGCTATGTATAAAATCAGTAAAAACACAAGAAGCTACTTCTATGTTGGAAGAAAAAGTCCTTAAAAAACCTTAAAAGTTGGTTTGGAGAAGTTGTAAGAAGTTTGAAGTTTAATCTCCATATAGCAAGTTGCAAGGAAAACGTGCTGAGTAAAATATGATCTATGGTTATCTACATTTTATTAAAAATATGAAAAAAAATACTTAACAATAAGCTATCAGAGTGTATGCAGATTGTGTCTATATGCTGCTAATATAACTAAGTGAAAATTAAAAAAAAAAAAAATCCAAATGGTTGATTTACTTCACAAGGTAAATGGCCTTGCTTTTTAGGAGAAAAAAACCCTCCTCACCCCTTTTACCCAAGGACAAGCCAGTGACCTGAATCCAATCTATTTCATTTTTTATAGATGTTCTATGTGATCATATTCTCATTGATTTTCAGGCCCATATTTAACCCCTAATTAATACAATTTTCATCTTTCAAACGGGCTTTTACGGAATGTGACTTCTGTATAGCTAAGAGCTCCTATGTGATGATAACTTTGCAATTTCTGCAGATTTGGAAAGGAATACTACACTTCCTATTATAAACTGCTAGTGGTTCTTTATTTTTGACCTTGTTCAAATTATCTCCATGACTTCTGAAATTATCAACTATTGAGTATCTCCCATGAGCCTAGCACTAGATTCAAGCTCAAAATGAACTACAAGCTAGATATTCTCCTCAATTTCAGATGCCAAGCAGGCTCAGGGGGGCTCATTATGTTGCCGTGAACGGCGTCGTGGAACTAGGAGGGTGACCCTTGCACTCTGTAGGCTCCACAGCCTTGCATCTTTTTTTTTTTTTTTTTAACATGAAAGAAGCCCTTTTTCCCAATTGCTCACTTTTTTCTTCATTGCATTTCCTGAGCCATTTGGGGTCCATCTTCCTCCTACCACTGAACCCCACCAGATGCAAAAAAAAAAAAAAAAAAGTCTGTGAGATGCCTTTGAAGAGCGTGATTTCAATGTTTTTGTAATTTTCTCCCTGTCTATCCTTGTGGGAACTGAGGGTTGGGGTGTGGTGGTGGGTGCAAGGCAAAGCAGCCCAGCGGGCCAGTTCAGAGCCCCCTCCCCGCTTACCACCAGTGGCCTGAATCACCCTGAGGTAATTGCCCACTTGTTGTCCGTTATGGTTCCTCGTTTGTGAAATCAGAACAGGTGTCATTGTCACCCTCTTTGATGGGTTACAAATCCACCCCCCTTAAAAATGTATTTTATCCTTCCTATAAAAATAAGAAATGGTGTCATGGAGATGTGAAAGCAGAAAAGGAAGTAAGTGCCTCTGTTTTATCCATCACATCTGAAAATATGTCTTTAGCAGCCAATCAAATTGTGTTTGATAGCCAGAGCCTTTAAATATCCTCAACTGTGTGGCTCCCGGGATGGCTTCGAAGCAGGACATTGAAGTTCTGGTTGCACAATAAAGAGATCATTGCCATAAATGATGAGTACATGCACTAGTCATTTCCAGCCTTCCTTCTGGCTACCTTTGAAAAGGAATTGCTTCACCATGCCCTGGCCTTTTCCCCCTTTGGTAAAGAGGTTTCTTGAACTTCTTGAGGATCTCCTGATTCTTACCACCATCTCTTCCCATCCCCTTTCTTTCCTATTCCCTGAACACCACTCCCTTTCCACTGCCAGGCCTTTTGTTTGTGCATGCTTTTACATAACATGTCAAAAACAAGAAAATCAATTTGAACTTTTAAAAAATCCGAAGGGAACCAAAAAGAACAAAGACATTCAAACAGCAAATGGGCAGGAAGGTAGAGACGTGGGAGATGAGGAGGGAAGGGCTGTGGGCGGAGTGGGGGATTAGAATCACTGGGGACTTCCTTTACTATCAGTTTGCCGGGACTTTGGGTGAGTCACCTCACATTAACTCCATCTGAAAAGGGGGATGTAAGAACACTTCCTTAAAGAAATTCCATGTGAGCAGATACAGTAATATGTAAAACCTCTTTGAAAGAAGTCCTTGTAAAAACTCAAAGTACTATTTTTAGTTCTCAGCTTGTTTAGCCTTCACATTTCAGGAATCATGGAGATGTACCTTGCTAACATTAAAACAGGGGGGCTCTTATCACAAATTTTTCTATTTTACATTTAGAAACTTGACATTTTTAGTAGAGTTAATAAGTTATATGGCAAGTATGACTTATTATATAAATATGAGGTTGCTCAACTCAATTAAAATAAGATGTCAGATTCCTATTCTACTAACACTCATGGAGCACCTAGCATGTGCTGGGTTCTCTTTCTAGGCACTAATAGAAACTAAATGAATGTAGGTCTCTGACAAGAATTAATCTAACTGTGGAAACAAGGAAATGAAAATTAATGGGCCCTGAGTTAGTTGAAGTGGATTAAGACTCTGAATCAGTCCTGAGCTTTTTCTGGCTAGTGGGCTTAGATAAACTCAATGATTTGGTCTTTCATCCATCCATCCAACAAAAAATGTATTGAGTAGCTATGCCAGGCCAGGCTTGGCCCACCGAGAATACGATAAAGTCCTTTCCTCAGGAAGCACACATTCCCGTATAGGAAGACAAAAAATAAACTAGTAAGCCAATGAAGGAACTAGATAATATTAGAGAGCTGTGAAGGAAATAAAATAAAGTAGTTGAAGGAGAATCCCTCAAAGATTTCTTTAGATAAGGTGGCTCCAGGAAAAGTCGGTGACATGATGGGTCAGCTGAGACCCAAAGGATGAATGAGACGCCAGTAGTGATGAGGCAGAAAAAGTCTTTCAAGAAGAGAGAACGGCCAGTTCAAAGCCCTCAAGGCAGAACCAGGGAGAAAGCTATTGTACATAGAATATAGAGTGCAAGGAGAAGGAGAGTGGTAGGAATTGAGGTCAGGGAAATGGTACAGACCAGATCATGTCAGGCTTTTAACGTCACAGGAGGAGTTTGGATGTTGATCAGAGTGCAATAAGAAGTCATTGGAGGATTCTAGCGAGAGAGAGAAAGGATCTTATTTACATTCACTTTTGAAAGGCAATTCAGGCTACTCTGTGAGGAATGGATTGCAGGAAAGCAAGAATGAAAGGATGGAGATGAGTTAGGAAGCTATATGTCAGCATATGAGCTTAGACAAGCTTATGTAAGAAGCTTACACAAGAAGCTGTGTAAGTCAGGTGAGCAAAGACGGAGCCATGAAACAGATTCATCATGCTATATTGGGTAGGATTGGGGCTTTTTATGGTATGTTTAGAGGTCTTTGGCAGTGTTCCTTTGAAAGATAATCATAGTCTCTCAACAACTGAATTTGTTGGTGACAGAATTAAAGAACAAACAGATGAGCCACAGCTCTACACTAGAAAAACATTTTTGCTTTGAGTTCAATTCATTCTGATTCTTTTCTCCAACCTGAGAGCATTGTACCAGAACTGGGAAGGTGGCTACTGCTTACTCTGCCTTCACTCCCCTCACTATGACCCCTTGGATTCTCAAGCTCCCCAACAGGCAAAGGAGAGGAAGGTAGAGTCAGTAAGCTGCTCATGTTAACATGGGAAATGAGAGGAAGAACTGCTGGAGGAACACAGGTACTCTGTCTGGACTTCAGTAAGGCTGTAATCAGAACCACATTGCTTTGTAACAGGAAATCTGGGCTTCTACGAACTGCAAAGTGGAGATTTACCAACTGACCTAATCATGCAAAGAAAATGTCAAACTGCAATAACAGATTTTCATATTCCTTTCTGCCTAAAGAGCAGAGGTTGGGGCCCCTGCCCGGGATAGATCACGAAGCACACAATTATCCAGGCTCCATGTTTCAGTAAAGAGTTTTGCTGAAATGTGCCAGATATTGTTAAAAATACAAAGAACCCTGTTCATAAACACCAGGCTTTCTACTGATCCAAAAGCACATGTTTATTT